TTTTCACTTTATTGCCCATCAATGTTTTTTTCTTCCTTTTTCTGTCCACCCCGAATCTTTCATTGCGTGGAGGGGCTCTTAAATTTTGCAATGTTGGATGGCTTAAGTTACCAAGGCGAACTACTTTGGTGCCTCATCAAACACAAAAAGTGATTGTTGGCGTCAATGCGAGTGTTGCAAAAAAATTATAACATGACATCACCTCATGGTGCCACTGTTATATTACACTTTCTGCCAGAATTTTTTATGTCATCATGCATTCATTGTGATGTCAAATGATGGCATCACCACATGTCATCGTTGCACGGTCATAGGTGGGCTCATCGCGGAAGCTCAGAAAGCTTGCGATGCCTACGATCCCAGAGGCAATGCAAAACCACCCTAAGTGCTGACATCCTTCCAACCAGTCGATACAGTGAACCCAGAAGAAGAACGACTCTCGCCTTCCAGCCATCTAGAATGAATGCTTAAGTGACCATGAAAGTGTTTTCAATGACAGTGCATGAAATGGGGTTCATTTTATAGTGAGGTTGTGACTCACGATATGCCAAACTCAATATTTTTTTTATTACTATTACATTACAGTGTGATCTTTTTCAGCTGAAGCTATGTTCCCTGCTCACGAAAAAAAACTTAATTCAAAACCCAACTTTCTGTGATTCCTAGCATATTATGCTTAGTTTTCCTGCTTTTTTTTTTTTTTGCTCTCTGACTGTTTTTGTCCGGAGATCCTGCAGTTGTGTTTTACTTTGTTTTATCACCGACCTGCTTACTTTTCCAATGTTGTCTTTAACACTGAAGTCTGCATATAAGTTAGCGCCCTAAGATACATGTGAGTATACATTTCCCCATTCAATTAGTAATATGTGCTCCATTGTTTTCTTACTTTCCTCACACATGTACAGTAAAGAACCTTTCCCCTTTTTTATCAGCATTCATAACTATGCATCCTAGGACAACCTGACCTCTCTTCAAACAGCAAAGTGCTTCTCCTTGAATTATTGTAAAATATGTGCTTAATTCAATTTTACCTGTACTGTAGTCACTCAGGAGCAATTTTATTTCCATCACTGCCATCCATTTTCTTTTGTATATACGACAATTAATTTTGCTTGACGTTCCTTGTTACCATGTCGCTGATACTGTCAGACATATACTTGCTGATGAGTCTCCCATCTTTTCTTTTATTTGACAACGAGTCCCATACAGATACTGAAATGTCTTGTTCCTTCATCTGCTGTCTTTCATGTTTCTTAGTGTTTCTTTGACACTAACTTTCAAACCACTGAAGCTGCCACTGACTTTATTATCTGTATGTTACCAAAGTTACATGGCGCTATTTTTAGGTGTAGAGTAAAACATAAGGCAATGAAAAATGTTGTGTACAGTAATTTTGACCTTGGCATAGGATAGTTTCTGAAAATTGGTTGGTAACACTGATGCCACTATGTACTCATATTGTAGCAAGTGATCCACTGCAAGTTCACCATGCAAGAACCTCTGTGAAATACATAGAAAAAGGGGAATCAAAATCAGCCTAATGAGACTTGGTCTGCATGGCACTAAACATTAAAAATGTTGAAAGGAGATTTCACTTTTTTTTTTTCCAATGACAAAATTGCTCTACACTGATCAATGCCTGTGTTCACATGCAAGCCAAAAAAAAAAGACAAACATGGATGCCACAAGAGACAAGATGCATGCCAGGAAATGCATGACAAGAGCCACTGGTATGCCATTACACTTAAGTCAAGAGTTTGACGGAAACACATCAGGTCTGGTATACTTATGGCCAAAGGCAAGATGCCAACCAAGATAATTTCGAATTAGCATATGTTTAGACTCTCGCACCAGGGCCTTCTTCCTAACATTGTGGCCCCCGTACGAGAGTCAAAACATTTTTGGGGTTCTTTTTGGTTGGAGTCTTGCTCGCACCTCTGATGTCATTCCATCATTCTGTGGCAAGACCTTCGCAAACCAGACAGGGCCGTGCATTGATGACTGTGCTTCATAAGAAAAGCTGCCTTTGAAAAATAAAGGCAATCCACATTTACCGACTAATTGCAAGTCTTGCACGTATGTGTGAGCCACTGTTCGTAAGATTCTGGGGAAAAGAGGTGATGACAGAACTGCTGGAAACTTATGATGTGAAAGGGTACCTTTTTTCGAAGGTAATTTCACTCTGCCATACAACTGTTCTGTACCCAAAGCAAACATGAAGCTCAGCAAGTGCTGCTTCGATATTTAATTTTCCCAGGCCCCACCTAGCAATGTCGACACTACAGTACTATTTCTGGTCACTTCACACGGCAGTCTCGCAAGTTGTGAAAATGTCAGGTACCAAAACTCCCAATGGCTGCTTGTGCATTACCAACTGAGCCACCGTGCTGAGTGGCTGTGGAAGCATCACAAGGCCATGCACGAGTATGTGACGAGAAGCTCATATCGTGCTGTGACGCCAGCGTACAGTAGGAACCAAAAGCAGCTTTAAAAAGACACACTGTAGTTACTTTTTCAGGGTGCACTCATGCTCAGCAGTACAGTTTTTAGGCCCTTGAGGACTTTGGTTTTCATTTGATGAAAAAAAAAACATGAGAATTGAGAACTTTCATGCCAATACAACACTGAAAAAAAATTTTTGTCAGTCAGATTTTCAGGCTGATTGAAAGATTGAGTACTGAAATTAAATAGGCACACCCTTCATTTCAGGTACAAACTGGAGGAACATACATTGAATTCAATGTACAGGAGCTTGCTCCTTTTGCTGGGGGGTTGTCTCTCGTCCTTGAGCCGGTGTGTACGCTAGTGCTCACTGCTCCAGCTAGAGGCGCAGCGGTGCTCTTCGTTTCAAGAGCTCTCACTAAATGGCATGTTGCCGCTCAAGCAATGCTCGCTCCATTCTCAGCGCGTGCCCTAGTTTTGTAGGAGACTGCTAGGCGGCCGAGCCTATATGTAGCGCTCGCTCTCGGTGCGCCTTCTTTTTTTTTGTTTTGCCCGACATCACTCAGTGCGCGTCGATACCGCTACCCACTATGAACACCGCAGAAGCCAAGGTGGCGGCGTGGAGGGCTCGCAATGCGGCTGCAGCGAGGGTTAGCCGTCAGGGCACTTTTCAAATTTTTTATTTCATTCTATAGTTCAAGATCCTCTGGCTTTGTACTTTACGGATAACAAAGCCATTATACTAAAAGCAAAACATTCCTCCGAGCTTATGCGATTCGTTAATAAGCTCTTGAATAAAATGTATATACTGCATCAGTATCTAATTATCTGTATATAAGTACATTGATATGTAAATAACAAACATTGTGTATATAACGTGTAGATATATAATTACACCACAACAACTCTCGTGTCACGTCTTTATATGATGATGATTGAGCATACAGTCGACTCTTGTTAATTCAAACTCGAAGGGGCCTCTGCATTTAATTTAAATTATCAAGAAGTTTGAAGTATCAGAAGTTTAAGATAGATGACTCTGGGTGAGGTGACAGCTCAAATTATGATTAGGCATTGATTTTATCACATTGAAAATCTTTTTCACTGTTTTTAAGACCAAACTGCACGCAGTGAACCGAAAGCAGAGGTGTAAAGTCCACATGTTTTCAGGCCATTTGCTACTCATCAGACCTTTTAGAGAAATCGGGAATAGCAAACTGCTTCATTGCTATAGATTTGTGCCTTCAGCACAAAGCTCTCTATACAAGTTGAGAGGCATCACGGTTTATCATGCGTGCGCTTCTTTTCAAACATTTGTTTACTTAAGCTTCTTTCTTTGAAAGCCTCAGGCACTTATTTTTCATTTTTAAACTGTTAGAATTATATCAGCACACAAATTTTCAAAAAGTAGTTGGAAAGCAGCTGATGTTTTCTGGTATGAACCTGCACAAAGTATTATTTACCGAATGGTAGAGTTTAAATTAGGAGGCATTTAAAGGCATTGAAACGATGAAGGGCCAACGAAAAAATTTTGTTTGAAATAACCAAAGATGAATTATCAGAGTTTGAATTATCGCGAGTTTACTGTATGTAGAGAGGATTCACGGTTCGGGTTTACCAGATTTAACCTCTCGAGCAAGCTCCTTCATCATCATTCACTTTGTGGATATACGGCAATTTTTTTTTTTTTTTTCGAAACTTCTATGTCGATGCGGCTGCACTATAACTAAAAGAGGTGACATCACAAACACCAGAAACAGGCATGCCGATAATGCCAGCTGTTGTTCACATCTCTCTACCTGCTCAGCACCCCTATGGTTCCCAGAAGCTACACAAACAGCACTGGCAACGAGCAATGCTCCCGGCTGGGTTAGAGCATCAGTGCTTTTGTGGAAGGGGGAAAATGGGATAAAAAGAAGGTTGGAGAAAAGGAAAAAGACGAGGAACACGTGTTTCCTGGATGCGCTTTGATGACGATGACGTCACGGCTCGTGCTGAATGCAGTTCATCAGAACATAACGAGTACTGAACTCTGGGCGAGTTGGTAATTCATAACTACAAAACTGCGCAAAAAAACGACAAGAAACAGAGAAAGAACACACACAAGTGCAGTCTAGCAACTCAGTTGCTAGACTGTGCTTGTGTGTGTGCCTTCTTTATTTATTGTAGCTTTTTTGTGCAGTTTCGTAGTCATCAAAACAGTTGCGTCTTCATAGCAGAATTTCGATGCTTTCAATTTATGTTCAGTATCACTTTAATGCATGGAACCTATTCGCAACAGATTCAAAATTCGTTTTACATTATGGTACGCCAGTGATGTAGCTGCTACATGTCTTTTTCTGAAGCTCTTCTCCTTAGCACTAAATAAGTCCTCTGTGAATCATAACAAACTCACAAACAGTGAGAATCATTAATCTTGGAAGTGTTTAGACAATTTTCAGCGATGCTTATGTTATGGCAGGAACTTCAAGGCGGCGGTACCTTTTCTGAACTGCCAAGCATTTACCTACTCACAGTGGAGCTTATCATAACTTCTATTTTTCACGAAGTTCACTCACCCCTTGGATCAGCAGCAGCCGGCACGGATGTCTGAGCCGAGGCGGTCTCTGGCTGGCTCAGCATGCGAGCCACAATTCCTTCGAGCACTGGCTGACCTGTCAAGGTGCGGCAGGCGCAGCAATTGCTTCACATCGCGAGCAGAAAACGGCTCCTGGGTCATGCCGGACTCGCAGGCGAGCGTGCACAGCGCATATTCATAGCCCTGGCTCGATAGGTAGTCCTGGATCAGCCACATCACCACCTGGGCCCCAAAAAAGAAACCTCACTGACCAGTAAAGCAGCGCTGGAGACGGGAGGAGAATAAAACACGGTGCTCAGTGGCCAGGGCTCAGTGTCAGGAAGGCCCAGCCCCTTCTTTAAGGAGGGGCGAGGACTCCCATGAGTTGTTCCACTACCCTTTCAACAAAGAGTGAAGTTGATTTTTTTGTCAATAGTGTCTTGCAGACAGAAATTGTATCTCTCCAATTTTCTCAACGATTTATTCACGTTCGTTGGGCTGATGTGGTGCGACCAGAATAATTTTTGAAATTGTTGGTTTCAAAACTACCGTACTGACAAGTTTTGTTGATTTAAAGGAGTAGCACTCCTACATTGACATTTCCTGTCAACTGACGAGCTGCGCACTCCTGTTTTGTGAACTAATCGGCTACTTCTGTGTGATTGTTTTGTTGAGTGTATACGTTGATCGTGGGTAGATTGAATGCATGAAAAGAAAACGCTAAATGTTTCTAACTGCTAAACAATAGACTGACGCTGCTTTCAATGCCATATCGTATTTCCTTGGTGTTTTGGAGTAATTAAAACTCTGATGAATAGATATATTAGTAGACCGTGGTCCTGAGTCGGGAGTTAGGTATAGTAACTAGTAAATACATCTATAGCGAGCTCAATAATGTAGCATAGTAAAAAGAAAGGTAAAGACAAAATTACTTCTAGCTCTAAAGAACGGTGAAAAACAAAAAACTTAAGCACGAAAGGAATGACATGTTTGCATCACTCACCCCATAGTGGCAGCTTGAATTGATAGACCCCGACAGCTGTCTTCGATGTCTGGCAAACGACTCTCTGAACATTCATTGACAATGATTACTCCACGCGACACGCAGAGATAATAAGTGGTTCCAGAAGCAACAACCCTACGTTTGGGGAACGCAACTGGTGCCAGTGGGCAGCTATGCTTTGGGATAAATAATTTAAATTTGCATCTATATTTAGACGATGGTGCAGTTATACTGGGTGCTCAAGATAATGTAGCGTAGGACTTTTCATGAATCATTATTAAAAACAATATATTCTGTCTATCTTGCATAGCACCACCCCAACATGGCCTAGTATGCAAGACCCAAGATGGGAGTACTAAGCTTACATATTAGCCCTGAGAACGAGCCCTGGCGTCACTGCTTTTAGTATCGGTGCGAAGTTAGTAACGGTGCAAAAAAGGTAGTAACGGTTGCAACCTTTGAGTGTCTGGTAATGTATGTAGTAAAAAAGTCAAAAAAGTTAGTAAGTGCCCAAGAAAGTTAGCAGCGGCTAGTAACAGTGAGAAGGAGGGTCAAACAGAGCGCTAAGCTGGGTTAAGCTCGCAAGATCAAAAGTTCGAAGCCACATTGTTTTTTTATTTGTTTTTTTTAATAAAATTGAGTTTCAAACACTTGAGAGAAGGCCATGTGAGTTACGAGTAGTGTGAAGTTGAGAACTGATAGGCGGTCAAATGGTATTCTACTGTGCGAAGTGCAACAAAACCCCCTTCTTTCAGATAGCGCATCATGCTAGCATGCAATGACAAAATTTGGTTCGAATGCCAATGCCGGAGCCATTCCCAATCGTATACTCACTCAAAGAGACCCTAAAGCAGTTTTTTGAAGTTTGTCAGCCTTTAGGCTAGAGCATCATCAAACCATTCGCACCACGAATTCAGTGGCATGCCGTGTACCAAGGCCGCTATGGACAATTATATCATACCCTCCTTCTCACCTCTGCCTGGCTTCCTCAACTCATGAGGCACACTGGCGATCGTAGAACACTCATGAGCGCGTTCGACAATTTGAGCTGTTACCACTCTATACCTCTGAGATGGCGTCACCATCCCCCGTATCCCCTCTCAAAGAGTTTTACTGCAAAGAAAAACTACTCATTTCTTATACAGCAAACACAATTCATAACCAGCAACTCTTCCAGAATAGCAGCAACACAATACAGAATATCACATATTGCTAAAATAATTATAGATATTCACTGACACAACACGAAATGACAAAAAATAAGAACGCTGAGCAGTTTCAGGCTATTCTATTCAAAAAATCAGCTCCAACATTTTCCCTGCCCTTGATACACTGCACGTGGAATTCATACTCCTGCAGTAAGAGTCTCCATATCATCAGGCGTCTATTTTGAAGTTTTGCTTTTGGCTAAATACTGTAGCAGCTGGTGATTGGTTTGGACAGTGAAGTGCGTGCAATACAGATATATGTGAAATCTCTTAAAGGGACCAACAACTGGCCGGACAGTGTGATTAGGTGCTAGTAGAAATTAAATGAATTATAGTCATAGACTTCAGCATTCCTTTCGCATTGTGAGTTAGATTTATATGTTTAAATCGTACCTAAAAGTAACAAAAACCGTGGCTGAGAAACGAGCCTGTGGCTGAGAAACGAAATTGGAAATTGCCTCAAAGCTGATTTCACATTTAGGGGGCTTGACTATAAAGTAGCCGCACTAAGTCTTCGGAACAACTTCTTGAGGACCTGTAGGTGCACTTCCCATATGTCAAAAGCCCCCAGAATGTCATCTATATAGTGCTCCCCATGTTCGATGCCTTCATGTACCTGCCTCAATAGCTTAGTGAATGTTGCTGCCACTGTCTTGAGTCCAAACAGCATGTATCTGAATTGGAACAATCCACTCGCATATTAGACCACTGTTCTTTCTTTGGATTCCTCCTCTATGAGTATTTGCCAATACCCTTTGGCCAGTCGAACTTTGAGAAGAACTTCCTGCGAACAACTCGTGCAAAGACAACATCTGTTTTCGGAATGGGCTCTGCGCCCGTGATTAGAATGACGTTTAGGCGCCTAAAGTCTACATATGTGCAGTATGAGTCATCAGCCTTTCTGATCGCCACCAAAGGTGCCTTGCAGGTGGAATCCGTATGCTCTATGATACCCACTTTATCATCTTCTTTGCTCCACTTTCAAGTGCACTTTCAGCCAATAAAAGAAGTGGATACTGCCGGAGACAAACTGGCTGCTCGATAGTCGCAGTTTGCACTTGAGAAGCGTATTTTTGCCGAGTACATCGGAAAATACTTCTTCATACTTTTCTAGGAGGGCTTTCACTTGCAAATTTATGTTGGCATCAAGTTCAGGGCTAATTATTACTTTCTCTGATCCCATGCTTTTTGCGAGGTTGCATGAGAGCATTTCCGCGATCTCTTCCTCTTTGCTCATTACCATGCTTTCTGGTTGTTATAGGTGCTTTTTTTCGTATTTTTTCAGCGTGTTTATGTGAAAGCTTTTTTTTTTTCAATTATTTGTAGCTCTTAGTCGAAGTCGTTCTTCCAGCAGGTCACCAAAAATGGTCCTTTTCACTGCATGGTAAGCTTATTCTTGTAACTGCGGAGTAATACAAGCACTCTTTCTGCTGCTTTCTGCCTACCACCTTGTGATTTTAGAACTTCTTGTACTTTTCCCAGGCATTTTCCAAATTCTCATGTGCCATCTTGCAGGTTTCCTCCAATCTCTCGAAGTTCGAGCACATAGGCGCTCGTTATTTTCAATTCAGCTTCAAGGTCTTGGTTGGTCCAAATTTCTTGTAGAATTGTTAGTGGCCCTCAACAGTTCTGCGGTATAACATTTCAAAATTGAAAAATCTCAGACTTGATTGGGGAACTTCTCGGTAGGCAAATAGCAGTAGAGGCAGACACCTGTCCCTATCGACTGACCGTTGTTGACACAACTTTTTCACCCTCTGCATATTCGTTCCAGTGAATCTTTCTACAAGACAGTTACACATGGGGTGGCACAGTGTGGTCAGCAGTTGCTGAGTGGACATCAGCCAGTTAACCTCCCTCTTTAGGTCTGATGTAAAATTCGACTCTAGCTCACTGAGTATTTTCTTGGGAACTTCACACCGAGCCAACATCTCTAGAAGTGCCTCTGCAATCTCCGCAGTGTTAATATTTAGAGTTCACGGCATCTGGGTACCTGTTTGCCATATCCACCAACATCAGTACATAGCGGTTGCTTTTCCTTGATGAAAAAGAGATGGGTCCGATTACATCACTACTCTCTGGAATGGAAGTTCGATGATGGGCAAGCTTCCAAGGGGCGCTTTTCCTAAGCGTCCTTTGGGTATAGTTCGTTGACACATATCGCACCATCGGATGTAACATTTTAGGACGCTTTGCACCCTGGGCCTAAAGAATTCGCTTATTCTAGTAGCTATACTGTTTGCTCCTTGATGTCCAACCATGATTGCGTCATGCCTGAGACTCAATAGAACAGCTCTCAAAGACTCAGGTACAACAAGTTGCAGAATCTCTCTGTTACTAGTGCTAAATACGCACCTTCTGTACAAGTTATCTTGGAGGAGATACTCGAACGTTGTTTCACCCTTTTTTCTCTTCTGAACTTCCCCCCCCTTTTTGAAACAGTGTGCGAGTGAACTACGAGTAAATTTCTGCTGTTGTGCTACCTCCGCAAGTGTAACTTTCAGCGCCTCCGCCACTGATGCCTTGAGCTTTAGCGTTTCTTCTCTGTTTTCAGTGCATGCTATAGTTTGCACCGCTGATGAAACCAGTGGGTTTCTTTTTCTAGCTGCTTAGCCTCTGTCCTCTCCTTGCTTTTTTCCATTCTGGATTTCTAGAGAGGGCCGTTCTTGCGTTTCCTGCGGTAGCCCACAGCTCTGCGTATTTCATCATGTTTCATACACTGCGCTCCATTCCAGATCTGGGTCATCGACTTGCCTTGCGCCGGTGATACTGTAACAGATTTCTTTATTTATTTTCTTCATTCAGAAATACCCTGCTTCGCCCAAAGGCGTGTAAGCGGTGGGGGGGGGGGGGGGGGGGTTACAGCTTTGAAAAAAACAAGTCTTCGTTATGACAGCACACTTGGTCACAAGACAATTGATTCCACTCTTGTACAGTATGAACAAAAAAAGAATTAGCATAAAGGTTCGTTCCAGTCCGGTATTCTTGAATCTTAAGGTCATGATGAGACCTTCTAGACAAGATAATGCGGTGGTTTAAGGTAAGTGTCTTTATTGATGCCAGTCTTTTTGTGGTATATCTGAAATAACAATTTCAAATGCAATTTTCTTCTGCAAGAGGAGAGCGCTTCCCATCCCAGCACGTTTTTCATTTCAGTACAGCTGTCACCTCGCTTATACCGACTGAGAACGAACCTTGCCGCTCTGTTCTGTATTTTCTCGATCAGATCAATCAAGGCCTTTTGGCGCAGATCCCACACACAACATACATATTCCAAAATCGGGCGTACAAATGAAATATACGCAGTACTTTTGAGGACAGCAGGGGAGGATCTCAGATTTCGTTGAATGAAATTTAGGGCTCTTGCAGCTTTTGCAACTACAGCATGCACATGCGCATTCCATGAACAGTCGCTCGTAAGTGTTACAGCCAAGTATTTATACATTGATTGATGATCAATGACGTCACCGTTCAAAAAGTAACGCGCTTCATCCTTTTTCTTTTATTTATTTATTATTTATTTAAGGAACACTGCAGACAGTTTTTCACCATCCTAGCAGGAGAGGGTTACATAAGGTTCCTAACACAGAGGTCGAAACTAGAAGAAGTCGGAGCGTGCACGCAGTCGGAAGGCAGTGAATTCCAGTCTTCAATGGTTCTTACAAAAAAGGAGTACTTGAATGTGTTATTTTTAGGAGCATATGGTCTTACAGTTTTTGAATGATTTAACCTTGCTGAGCGCTGAGGAGGTGGCAGAATGTACAATTCTTTATTTAAACCAGATTCATTGTTGTATAGTTTATAAAAGAAGACTAACCTTGCAATTCTTCGCCTACATTCCAGTGGTTCCAGCTCACATTTATTTAACATTTCAGAAACGGAGGAGAGGCGCCTAAAGTCTGAAAAAATTAACCGTGCGCTTAGCCGCTGAATCCTTTCCACTTTATCTATGTCTTTCTTTAAATATAGGTCCCACGCAAGGAATGCGTATTCTAGCACTGGTCGAACTAGGGTTTTATAGGCTGCAAGTTTAACTTTCCAATCACATGACCTCAGCTTCCTTCTTAAGAAGCATAGCTTCTTGTAGGCCTTGGCGCAAACGTTGTCGATGTGAGCGTCCCAGCTAAGTTTCGTATTAATGGTCAATCCCAAATATTTTACGGTATTAACAAATTCAATACTTTGGTTACGGACATGGTATTTATATTTAAGAGGAGTTTTCTTGTGTGTTACTGTAAGAGTGCAAGTTTTTGAGTAGTTAACAACCAGCTGCCACCTCTCACACCAGTCAGCAATTTTGCACAAGTTGTCGTTAAGCAATGATTGATGCAAGGAGCTACTGACAGCTGTATAAATAACACAGTCGTCAGCAAACATTTTCACAGTTACTCCCGCGTCAATATCATCGCAAATATCATTCAGATAGATCAAGAACAAGAGTGGTCCCAGGAACGACCCCTGGGGCACTCCTGACAATACATCAAGGTTTTGTGATTGGCAGCCGTTAATTTCTACAAACTGTGTTCTGTTTTTCAGATACGCAGAAATCCAGTCCACGAGGCGGGGAGCAATCCCCGCCTCGTGGACTGATTCGTATCAGTAAAGAGTGCGGTACCCTATCAAAGGCTTTTGATAGGTCCAAAAATATTGCATCTATTTGTTTTCTGTCATTGATAGCATCAGCGAAGTCGTGTATGACTGATACGAGCTGGTTCGTCGTTGATAACTTTTTTCTAAACCCGTGCTGGAAGCTGCCTAATATGTTTTTTGATTCCAAGAACGAAGCTATCTGGCTGGAGCCATATAGCTTTAGCGCAGCTCAGTTTGATCGTGAAGGAAAGATACTATAGAGTCAAGAAGGGGAAAAAACAGACAACAGTGTGAGCGCTAACTTCCATCTTTTGTTTATTGCGTACGCTTACAACACATTATATAGCTCGTTTCACGTGACGCCACACACATGACAAAACCGCACACGTGTGGCACAGCAATCAAAGAAACCTCTCACACAGCAATCAAAGAAACCTCTCAAATCCAGAAAAAGACTCCGGCACAGGGAATCGATCTTGGCACCTCTGCACTGAGGAGCAGCTCTTTCAACGTTGAAACGGCAAGCTATTTATATCTACCACTTAACACTGGTAACGGGCATTTCGGAGGGAACCACTATTATGTTTTCAGCATTACCGCTGAGATAGCGCAATGAGCGTGCGTTGCCAGATTGTCGCGACGCAGCGGCGTGCGCTCTCATCTCCCATGCGTACTTTGCCTTGCGGAGAGGGGATGCTCTCGCAAGCGCTCGTTTATCTCGTGATGGGGACAATTATACGCTTAGAGCTTTCATCGGAACAATTCTGTTGTAGTTACCGTGCGCACAATGGCCACTGCACACGTAGCAGTCTCCGTTTGCGAGAAAGGCACGCTTTTAGACACAGCGAAGTAACAACTGAGATGCTTATTCGCATTTATCTGTACCTGTGAGTACGTTTCGTGCACTATTTGTGCATGAGAAACGCCAAGCATGTTTCGATCTGCTAGCCATTCTGCGCATGACCTTCCGATTTGTTACTATAGTGTTCATTGCTTCGCTTTTGCGGCAAAGCTGTGACTTTTTTCATCCAATGCATTTCCTATTTCCAACGTCGCTATCTCTTTTTCCAATGCTAAATTCGTACAGCTCTCTCCTCTGCGTGTCGGGCCACCTCACAAGCTGCTGTTCTCTCATCTCTAAGCCTCTGTGATTCCTGCTCATATAACTTGAGCATCTCTTCTTTGCTTAGTCCCGAATTTCCGGACATCATCATCAATTTTTCTAAGTCCATCACTCTGGTTTCAGTACGAGCAGAAGCGTGCTGACATTCACTTGACGACAGTGACAGTTGAGATAGTATCCAGGCAGGCTCACCCCATCGTTGTCACCATCTGTAAAGTGATGGAAACCAGAGGGATGCACATGGACACACTTCACTTGCATTTACTTTTGATCAAACAGACGAATGAAATACACACAGAAAGATACTGTCAACAAGGTTATAACTCTATGTCAACAAGGTTATAACTCTAGTAGCTGCTTCATATTCGACATCACTAATTACAAGTCCACATCACAACCTAATTTTTCTGCACGTTAGAAAAACAATAAAGTCTGAATATACTTTCGTTGGTGCAGTTCGGATCTGGGAAAGCACTTGACACTTGGTAGAGCCCTCGGGGCGTAGCCGGGAGAGTCACTTGACACCAGAGGCGGGAGCGTAGCAGATGTGGGTTCTGTTCAGACGGAGTCAGTGAGCATCTTGCTTTCGCCCGAGCCAAGGTTGGACTGCCTCAACTCTGAATCAGCTTCGTAAAAATATAGCGGCCCTCTTCTCGAGATTCCTTCAGAGTCAACAGTAGGAATGGAGCCTTTCTTTCTGCTGTACCAGTGCACATGGTGATTACACTAAACTTTGCCTGGTGCCAATAGGGGGGAATTCATGTCTTCTGTGGTAGGATACAGGGAGGCCCGCTCATGGGGACAGCTCCAAGTTCGCACAGTATGGTGACGTATTCACTAGGCACAAATTCGCTTGGAATTCCATTATCGAACAAAGTCATTTCGTACATGCACACCTATGACAGATGGCACGCCAACAGGTTGAGTGCAGTCTTGGAGGCCATTACATAGTGCACCCAGCAGCATGCACGCCTCATGGCAACAGGGTCGAAGATTATAGAGGGAGCGGTTTATATCTACTCTGACATGTGCCGTCACCCTTCCAGTGGATCTTCCGCACATTCTACAGCTCATGACAGTCAAACAGATCACCAACCACAGTGAGCTAGCTGCTGACATCTCTGGCGTCGCCAAGTGGCCAGAGCATGTCGCTCTGTGAATGGGCAGCAGAAAACGCGTTTGGCCGAGTCGCGACAGTCTGCACCTATCTGCAGCCATTCACAGCTTTAAAGTGTTCTAATGAATTACACAGTTTACTCAGAAAGCTCGAATTGGCCTCTAAATAACCCTTGGAACTTGGTCTAGCGTCTCAATGTGTTTGTGCAAGACCACCAAAACTATCTCAAAGTGCCTCTAAAATGCGTGATGAAGGAATAATTAAAAAAAAAGAAAATAAAAGGTCTGGGGCATGGTGTTAGAAGTATTTTAGATGGACCAACAGCGCCTCCGAAAGCGAAGAACTTCTATCCCCGTTTTGCAGAGAGGGCCCAAGATGGCGCCCCAATTACCGTGGCTCAGGTGCTGGTTGCTTTGGGGCCGCGAAAGCAACTCGGGTGGGAAAAAAAACTTCTTCCTTCATTACATAACAAGTGCAAAAGTAAATAAATTATTAAAAGTGGCAAACAATTACTATATTTTGACGATACAGCTTCGATAGCCGTGGAAAATGTTTAATTCTCCACATCAAAGGTTCGTGATAGGAGCATATGTTTTCGCATTCACAAATATCAGATCATGAATTCAAACATGTGATGTTAAAGTCCTGTGTAATCATGACAAAAGCTAGTTCTTGGTTGAAGTATTGTTTACGTAGTAGTCAGACGAAAATAATTTGTTAGTCGAAGTTTTGCAGTAGAAAAACGTAATTTCAATTTTTGTCAGAGCGGTCACATTTCTATGAAGCAGGCCCAAATGCTGTGCGATGAGAAGTGTATGAACTTGGGCTTCTTAACATATACTTAAAGTACAAAAACAGCATGAAAAAACGAAAGACGAGACAGATGAAACACCATTCTGCGACGCCAGTGCACGTTACAAAACACCACATTGTCGAAAATTCCGGCGCCTTTCAATGTACGGCGTGCTTCATATTCATGTTGTGCTTTCAGCACATAAAACTACAGATAATTTTTTCATTCTTAACAAGTGTAGTTCTCGCTCGGGGAGAGGAGAACGGCACATGTAGGTCTATAAAGATTTTTCAAAGCAAAGCAGCAACTCTTTACTGAAAAAACGGCATATTTTATTATAGCAATGTAAAGAAGCATTCGTAGCTAAACGACCACAAAGAGAATAGGGCAGCACTTCAACTCGAAAGAAAAGCAGTATTGAAGACACGTGTGAAAAACGAAAGCTATGCATTCTGACTTTAAGGTAGCAACTTACTGGACTAGTTTCGAAAGCTGGCGCAACGTTTGAGACTTGTTTGCCTCAATCTTTTTCATTTGTTTGCAATGTCGTCACATACACACTCCTACATATTAAAGGAGCACTTGTGCCATCATGTCTACTTTATGTTCCTTACATGGAAATAAGAGGTTGTAGTTATCCAACACAAAATCAATAAACAAATCATACACTTCCTTATCGCTGGCGTGCTTCTGAAAGTTTCGCTGAGCTTCTTTCAAAAGACAAAATAGCACGGCATTAAGGAGCCCAAATCCTTCTTTTGTCTTCAAAACTACAAGAGCTGATGCAGCTTTTGACACATCAGATGTCCCGTTAGTCCAAGCTTGCACTTAGAACAATTTGTATTTTTTAGCAGTTTTCAACAAAAAAAACCCCGCATACATAATAAATTATGCAGTCGGTAACGCTATCATATGCAGACATTGAGTTAAATACATCCTCCCATTCAATCTCATCCTGCACCAATCCATCAAGCCTGTTCTTAAGCTCATCCAAGCGTGACTGGCTGGGCAGATCCTCCTTGAAAGCTGATGTTAATTCCCGCAAACTAAGGAGTTGTCCCTCTTCACTAAGAAGTAACTGGCAATTCCCATACTTGGGTGGCTTTACGAGACTGTAGTATATGGCTAGCACACTGTATCATTGCAAGAGCGTCGGCGAGCAGGGACCTTCATTTTAAGCTCCAGCTTGTCGAAACAACGAAACACTTTTTAGAAACATCTTCATTAAATATTGCAGTTATACATATCTGAAGTCCCATTTCTTTAACAAGTAGTTTGACAGCTGAATTGTCGACAGAATAGTCACTCGCAAGCACTCAACAGTAGTTGGCGAAAAAATGGGAGGATCAATATGTCCTCCCTTCACTTCTTCCTCCCAATTATTGAGTCGTTATAGAAAGGACTCTAGCACTTCAAAATCCTTTCTGCCTTAGACCTTGCTTAGGGTGTCTGCAATTCATAGCATCGAATATTCTGTTAATTCGCACTATGAAATCGACTTTTTCCGTGCATGTGTTGTAGCCAGAATTGCACTGGCGCATAAAACACTTCTTTCCCATTTCACGACTTGCTCACACGAACAGCATGGACTCTCATTGTGCACACACAAAAAAACAACGAAAACAAGAGTGCTACGTGGCGACAACTGATTTGTCTGAACAACACCATAGTCTGAACGACGCCCGCTCGCCACTCGCACGGCTGTGAACCAAAGCTGAGCACAGCGAGCACGTGGCGGTGACACTCCATCATTCCACTTAAGTACTTCCAACACTGTAGTCTGGGGTGTGGCCTCACTGGCGACCACCTGCTGGTAATGCACTCCCTCAACAGAGCAGGATTGGCCACCCTGGTGCAGTACTTCGCCACTACTTTCCATACGAGTGCACCCATTAACCCTCGGCCCTCAGTCCCGAGTGGCTGCAAAGCAACTGTCCAAGGCAGCTGTCAGACCTGCGACAGAGGGTGCTACGAAGCTCTGTGTCCTGACAGGCAGCCATTGTAATCTGAACTTGGCTACGTTTAGCACTAGAACACAATCTAATAGGGCTAATCTAGCCATAGAGTTTCACATACAATAATACCTAGAGGAGAATCTGGCGCTAGTGTCTATGCGGGCTCCTTCAGCGCCGTGTGTAACCCCATGCGAATGATGGGAAGTACAGGCTTCGGATCTGCTTCAGATGGATTACGTTGTTAAGATTCGCAACGCTTGTTTGCCGAGTATAAAACAAAGTGATATGAAGTTGTATTTAATTGAAGCTTGCTTTATTCTTTTGTACGTAATCTTCATTGCAAAAGTCTTCTGTAACCATGAGGTGGAAGTAAAACCTGGAGAAATGTAACCACCAGGGTGTGCATCGCTCTGCCCTTGCGTTCCAGATTTGGCATCAAGATACAATGAAACATATTTACAGTACTTGACAACAAACATGCTTATTCTTTTTTTTCTTGAAAGTATGCATTATCTAATTATGGAAACAACAGCAAAGTATCAAGAGAGAAACACTTAACATTTCCTCTGCCGCAATTTCAGATGCGTCTGTACAAGTGATCTGCTCCCAACACACCTCTTGTTTTGTTCTGAAGTCGAGTCATAGGAGCATGATGGTGCGTCTGCTTAGCTTCGCCATTGTTTTGAAGTCAATTCGAACGAGTTTAGGCAAGACGCGCTCGTGACAAAACATAAAATCGATGCAATATCCTGCACTAGCATGAGACACTGCATCTATGTGTAGCGGTGAGTGGACGATGCTTCATTTAAACTCTCAAATGCAACTCGTAAAGCTCCAACGTCACAGCAAATCAAGAAATCGGTGATCTTTAGCCTCTTCGAAGACCAAAAGGCACTGTTTCAACCATTTTCAAAGCACCCTACAACCCGCGTTGCATGAAGAACAAAATTGAGACTGAAGAAAAAGATTTGTAGGCAGTTTACTAGTTAACACTGTCCAATCTGAAGCCTGTACTTGCAATATTTCCCATGGGAATACACAATCGCAGAGCCAGATTTCTCTCTAGCTATTATTGTATAAAACTCTAAAAGTCTAGCTGTCCTATTCGAGGAATGACAGGTTGTTAAATATAATAGAAAAGGGCTCAGCTAAGTTAGGAGGTCACGTGAGGCTTATACAGTGCTGAAAAATGGAGATATCCTATGCTACCGTGGATTACCTCACAGAAAAAAGCTACTTCTTATACACGAGAATGACTACCAACATAGAGGAATACTATAGCATCAGTGTGAGAGGGTGGCAAGCATCATATTTAAGTTGAACAAAAGGTACAAGATGAAGGTGGTACAGGCCTAAGCACCTACATTGAGCCATGATGATCATTTGGTTGAACGCTTCTATGAGGACGTAAAATCGGCTATTAATACAGTAAAGTCACAGTATACTCCTCTGAGGGGCGACCTTAACACCAAATTAGGCAAGAAAGCGACTGGAGACCATGCACTGGGTGCATCTGCTCTAGAAACGACAGAGGAGAGTTAATAGTCGAGTTTCCAGAATGCAATTATTTACGGATCTTGAATACCTTTTTCAAAAAACGAGCCAGCGGTAAGTGGACGTGACGAAGTCCTAATGGCAAAACTAAAATTGAAATTGGATTAATTCTGTGTGCACATCCAGGCACTGTACAAGATATAGTAGATGGCAAGGTCCGATGCAGTGACCACAGAATGATAAGAGCTCGAATTCACTCAATCAAAAAAGCAAAGAGAAAAATTGATACACAAGAAGCCAATTAATGAACTAGCGGTGAGAGGGAAAGTACAGGAATTCAGAGTTTCACTTCGGAATAGATTCATGGCTCTGAGCAAGGCAACCAATGCTAGCACTGACACAATGAGCGATAATTTTTTTTAGTATCATCAAAAAGTGTGCAATAGAAGTCAAAGGTACAGTCACTAGACTGGACACTGGCAAACTATCTTAGCTGACGAAAATCCCATTAAGAGACAACAAACCATCAAAGCCTCAAATGCAACTCACAAAATAGAACCCGCTAGTGGACCTTTAGAAGGTATTCAATAAGTGTTAGGTCACCGACTTCAAGAGGTACAACACGGAGAGAACCCAACAGGCTGTAAAAAGCGGCAGAAGCCTAAAAGCTGCGAAGGCAAACTTGTGCATAGGCAAAAATCGGATGAGTGCATTAAGGGACAAGAAAGGCTAAGTCATAACCAATATGGATAGGATAGTTAAGGTAATAGAGAAGCTCTACAAAGAGCTATACTGAAGCCGAAATAACCAGGATGATGTCATAAGAAGTAATAATAGCCCAGACGAATTCGACATCCTACCAGTAATGACAGGGTAAGTAATGAAAGCCCTAAAAGCCATGCAAAGAGGCAAAGCCGATGGTGAGCGTAAGGTAACAACGGGCCTGCTGAATGATGGTGGTGAAATTGTGCTAGAAAACCTGGCAACCTTATATACGAAGTGTTTCTTGACGTGAAGGGTACCAGTATCTTAGAAGAACACTAACATCATCTTAATCCATGAGATAAGAGATGTCAAGGACTTAAAAAATTATAGGCCGATCAGCTTACTGTTCGTTCTCTACAAACTATTTACAAAACTACTGGCTAATAGAGTTAGTACAACATTAGAGGTTAATAAAACAAAGAACCAAGGAGGATTTTGTACAGGCTTTCCACAACAGAGTATATTCATACTGTCAGGTGATAGAGAAATGCGTGGAATACAACACGTTTGACTCAGTCGATATATCAGCAATTATGCCGGCACTACAGAAAAATATAATCGACCAAGCCCACCTAAGCATACTGGAATAAATCTACAGCAGATCCACAGCCACCATAGTTCTCCATAAAGAAAGCAACAAAGTCTCAATAAAAAAAGGCTGTGGCCAGCAGACATGATCTCTCCAATGCTATTAACCGCGTGTTTACAGGAGGTTTTCAGGACCCTAGATTGGGGATAGTTAATGGAGAGTATTTAATAACCAAAAGCTTTAACAAAAGCTAATGGAAAGTATTTTAGTAACCTGAGATTCACTGATGACGTTGCCTTGATGAGCAACTCGGGGGACGAATAACAGTTCATGATTACTGAACTGGACACAGAAAGCAGAAGAGCAGGCCTGAAAATTAATATGCATAATACTACAATGTGCACAACAGTGTTATAAAACAGTGTATTTATATATATATATATATATATATATATATATATATATATATATATATATATATATATATACACACACACATACATACATATATATATAGCGAGAGAGGAGGACGGGACGGCGTGCACGTGGACATGTACTCCTACTACTTCCTGTCCGCGCTGGGTCCAGCTGTCCAACGGTTCATCTGGTGGAAGCACTACCTCACGCAGCTCCAGCTTGCCCAGTTCGTGACCGCATGTATGCACAGCATCTCTTATTTGTTTTACAGGGAAGGCTCAATCCTGGGATTCACTTTAATCATGGTCAGCGAAGCGGCGGGGTTCCTGGTCTGGTTCTTGTCCTTCTACAGCAACGCATACCGCAAAGGCAGACGCACCACCATGGACATCGTCTCAAGCACAGCGGTCGCGGCAAAGGAAGTGCTCGCCAATGTTGCCTCTTCTTGCTGCCCAAAGCCATTACATGAGAACAAAGATGAGTGAGCCGCTCTGACGAACTCGAAGAGAAGGACTTTTGGGTAGAAGCAAGGTTATTTCCGACTGATTAGACTTTAGTCGCTGTTTACGAAGTGATCACATTAGTGGCAAAGCATCAGATGTGTCAAGGTGACGAGCACAACTTGGCAGCGCTACAGCAGTCACAGATGCTTTCAAACTTGTAAACCAGTTGTACAAACCTTGGAACTTTTTTTCAGCCCTCATCTAGAAGGTAGCAAGCAGCGTGTCTACAGTTATACATTTATTTTTCTTACTTGATGACTGTATTTTTTTTTTCATCGTGTGTGGTTTCAAAACAAAATTGTCTCGGAGCCCACGTACACAGCTTCGCACACGTGCCTTCCACCTGCACATCTTCCGCGACATCGACGGCACACGACACCGTGGACCCACCTGACTTCACGACAGCTACTTTGCCGCACGCCTCGGAGTCTGGCGCAGACATCCTTGCACTCGCTGTTCCCCTCTCAGTCGTGGAACCTTCACCATCCCCGATGTCGGAGGGCGACTCTCTACCAACCCCAACGCTCTGCATGTCCTGCCAGGAGCGACCAGCATCGCCCTCGCAGTTTCCCGCAGCCGAAGTTGAAGCCACCAGCCACCAAGCGTGGCCAAACTTCCGAGACGCTGCGACTATGACCGACATTCTTGAGGACGACGTGCCTGGTCCGCCTATAACACAACAGACTGCACCTTGTGTACCACCCACACAGGCGGACAACCACCAGGCTGCCCTGACGAACACGGGTACGCCAGCCGACCTTCCGGCAGAGACTACGCCTACTGGGTCTCACGACCGCCCTCCAGAGTCCTTGAAGAATGACAAGACCTCGCAACAATGCACCTTGAATTGAGACATGCCCCTCGTCACGGCCCAGGCGTCCACAAAATACCCAGCCGTGAGCAGGAAACCTGCTCACGGCTGGTTATTTTTTCACCCACTTTTCTTTCTTATTTACATTCCATTGGTTCTAATAACATCCCCTGTACATTCTTTGGCATTACTGTCTGTTAGATCTCATTAATATTGTGACAAAATATGGAAAAACGAGCCCTTCGGTATACACTTCTTTCCCTTATATATATATATATATATATATATATATATATATATATATATATATATATAAGGAAAAGAAGTGTATGCCAAAGGGCTCGTTTTTCCGTGTTTTGACACCATAATAATGAGATGAGATCCAACAGACAGTAATGCCAAGGAATGTACAGGGGAAGTTAAAAGAACCAAGGGAATGTAAATAAGAAGAAAGAAAAGTGGGCGAAAAAATAACCAGACGCGAGCAAGAAACATCAATATATATATATATATATATATATATATATATATATATATATATATATATATATATATATATATATATATATATATATATATATATATATATATATATATATATATATTTGTGTGTGTGTGTGCGTGTGTGCGTGTGTGTGTGTGTGTGTGTGTGTGTGTGTGTGTGTGTGTGTGAGAAAGAGAGCGAGAGGAGAGAAACAAATACATTACTTAAGAAGAGTAATATGCTTGACACAGGTCATACAACAAACAATATAATCAGTTCAAGTGCATTATCAGGCAGCGGTCAGACCAGTGACTATAAGACATGCGTGATTAAGTCAATCTATACGAGAGCGTTGGTTGTGGCGGGCCACGGAAAAAGACCTTCCCGCTCACCTGCCGCTGCACTCACCTGATGCAGAAGCGTGCGCGAAGAGCGCTTGGCACTTCGCGTGGTGATTGTGAGTGCTTCGACAAACTTGTAGCGCAACCGCGCGCGAAGATCATTCACGACGCCTTGCTCTTCGAGGAAGCGGCACACCTTGAACCTCATCTCCTTGAAGCTTAGCCCGTCAAGCTGTTTTCTTGCCTCCATCTTGGCGAGAGATCTGTACCCGTTCAGAGCACAAAGACACGCCCAGATTGGAGAAATTCAAAAATTGAGCTTTCAGGATGCCGACATGACATGCAACGTTGCTAACATCCCTTACTGCTAATGCTCAAAAATTTCACCGCAAAGTTAGCAAAAAAACGTGACTAACCACAATTTATCTTTAAGTAACGAATCTTGTGTCATTTAAATTGTCAATCACATTACTCAATAAGTTTTTTTTTTTTTTGTTCTTCAAACAGGTAGGAGCCACTAATGCCTTTAGAAAGATACCTGCGGCATGTAGAGGTGTGCGCCGAGGCGATTTCGACCGGCGGCGGCGTGGGGGTCGTCCAGAGTCGGCGGCGGCGGCGTTGTCGGCGCACGCCGGTTTTTTCATCGGCGGCGGCGTGCGGCCGATTTTCGTCGGCGGCGGCGGCGTCGGCGGCGCAGAAACCGAAACTGAAAACTCAAAAGGCTCTTCTGCCACAGGTTACTGAATTCGTTGAAATTCAGCGATTTTCATCCAAAAAGCATAAATGACACTACACAGATGTGTCGACATCCCGATGAATGCAAAGCGTTTTGTAAAGTAGTTTTTATTTTGCCTTCATAAAAAAATAACGCGCATTTCAATATATGTCCATGTTCTACCGTAAATGTGCAGCACTTTGCTTTTTTTTTTTAAATTTAAGATGCAGCAGTTTGTTGCTGCTGTTGGCTACGTCATACTTTATGAAACCTTCTTTCATTGAACAATGAGCAAGCAGTGACGCACGTCACTCATTTCGCTTTTTCCGAATCCGATCTTACTTTTACACTGTACGCTGCACAATAAAGAAGCACATCTGCTTCAAGTTTTCTTGTTGCGATTGCATGAAACCGCTTTTCTGAGTATCTGTCATGCTTTTAATGTAACTTTCCTTCAAACGAATCAAAATACCTTCTTTTCACAATGTGAGAATCTTTTATGCAGTGGTATAGGATGCGGAAGAAAACAAATCTGCGCATTTATTCAACTAGTTCTCAGCAGGGTGTTCAATGAATGAAGTGTAGACATGGGCGTGGGCGAGGTGGGTGGTGCAACATGAACACTTGACCCCTTCAAGCTCCATCAGCACTTGCTACTCACTCTAGCGACACCATTACGACCCGCTCCCTCAGTCGTGATGCAAGTTGAAAGAAGGGTTTGCATCCCCCAAGACAAAAACCTGTCGATGGTCATATGTGCAGATGAGAGAAAATGCAATATTTGCTCAGGTACACAGCCCATACTGGTCACGAGCTCGGTGTCCGTTGACCACGCCTGCAGAGAACGTTGACTCCCCGACCCCTTGGTGTTTGGTCAGGGGAGGGGAACACCCCTTGCAAGTGGGCCCCATTAAAATTTCTCTTAAAAACGTCACAAATAAGAATGCTTGATAAGTATGTATAAAACATTCAACTTTCCAATGCTTTCTTTTATAGCGTGTACACGTGCTCGATACCCATAAGATGTGTGAGACAATCGAAAAAGCAACAGCCACTCTCGACTTGTTCCGGAAAAGACTCAATAGAAGAATGCAATTACGAGTGCTGGGACCTATGTTTGTTTGTATATTTGATTTCTAGGCATGATTTAACTTCTTATATAAACAAAAATAAAACCTGCAACATATTAAAAAAAGGCTGCTATTTCAAGGTGTGCGTTGCAAGACGGGATTTTTCTAGACTTACATCTCTGCAAGGCACATCTGGTGTCACAAACTTGCAAGTGCCCCCCCTTTTCCCCACGACAATTCCCGAACCCCCCACCCCCCACCTCTCTAATAAAAAGTCACCAATGTAGGCCTCCGTAGGCCTCCGTGATTGCCTACTGGTGCGTGGCGGGCCATTCCGGTGGCTAAGACCAACAGTGCCGATTTCGACTTGCTTTATTGCAAGTGCTGAAGGATCAAGAAAAGGCCGATATTTGTAAATTTCTTGAGAGTACAGTGATAGTTTCTTCTTGAATACCGTGGATTATTTAACTTCACTTTGAGTGTAATCCTCCAAATGAAAAAAATGGTTTCATTCTGTGTCACTGCAGAGTCAGAAGCCATCACATGTGCAGGCATCAATAAGCTTATATATAACATTGCTAAGATTCAGTACATTTGTACAAATAATTCTCGTTAATTGAACATTTTGAGTATAATCCTTGCTTGGGTTAGTATGTGTGAAACATAAAGTTGAGTTTTAAAAATTCTCCTTGTGGGTTTCTGCAGCAAAGACACATTGATTAAAACTGATGACTTCGGAGCTACGGCAGAGGTAACATTCGTTATGTTTTTTTTTCGGTTACGGTAACGGTAATGCGTTACCTTTTTATGTATTCATATAAAGTGGAGCCGTGAAACGTTCCCCTTTTTCTTATTAGAGTAACGAGTGAGGTATTTAGTTACTTTTTACTGTAACGGATACATCACTAAATAGACTTACACGAGTGATGTCGGCCCGCACCGTTAGTTGTTGTTGCGGTCTATAGGCTGGCTGTAAACATTACATGAATATATTCCTTTCACCCAGCACGTGATAGGGAAGGGTTGCTTGACCACTGAGGATCTCGACCTTTGAGAAATACACAACAGCTTCTTGAATATGCATATCAGCCTGAATATGCATATCATCCCACCGAAGCGTGCACTTCGTTTCGTTAAAGTTTACAGTCAACGTGAGTGCTGTCGTCACGCCGTATGTTTTAGGTAGAAATTTAGCCTACTCAAAATACCCAAAGACGTCAATCCACCTTCCAACGCGTGGCCAGCCGCTGACGGTTCTGTATGAAAATGACATCCACAGTGAAACATGTTGCATCTGCTGAAATTTTATCGCAACAATATTATACTGCCACGCTCGCTTGTATTTTTATGTCACTGTTTTGCGCAAAGGCACTGCCGTAGTGGTTCAGTAGCTAAGGTATTCGGCTGCTGACCCGCAGGTCGCGGTATCAAGTCCCACCTGCAGCTGCTTTATTTTCGATAGAGGCGAAAATGCTGTAGCTCCATGTGCTGCGATTTGGATGCATGTTAAAGAACCCCAGGTTGCCAAAATTTCTGGAGTCCTTCACTATACGGCATCTCTCATAATCATGTGGTGGTTTTGAAACGTTAAACACTACATATTAATCAATTGCCTTGCGCAAAGGGCGCTTGGCTGTCTGCGAAAACTCTAGATTATTTTGGAATCATCTGATAAGCTTGAGACACCTACGATATGGATGCTACGTGTATAAATGGCGACGTACCTTCGCGCAGATCATATTACCAACGACCAGTGCTCTGATTACCGCTATCTGTGTAAAGCACGAATTTCTAGTACTTTGCACTTTCCTATGCACATGTTCACTCAATAAAAAGTGTCGTCTTGAGCAACCCATGTACCATCTTCTTTGACGTCGCAACCACGTGGCAATACCGTAAGTGAAATGAGAACGCTGAAATGATCGATACAAAACAGTGAGATGGGGCGTAAGTGCACGCCCAAGTTTGATTTGAGATGCGTATACCACAAGCTATTTTCTTCTATAGAACCAATATGCTGCGGATCTGTTAAATTACTGTGAAGTTGAATGTCAAGAAAGGAAGAACACGAACTTGGAAAGAGACAGTGGAGACAAAAAGTGATAGGTATTGACGTAAAGTTTGATCGGTCATTCCATGCCAAACGTCCAAGGCGTTTTGGCGACTATCTCAGGTGTATTCGAAAAATGTCGGGCTGATTTACTCTATTGAAAGCAGTCTATTTCGAAAATGTTTTGCAGAGAAAAATGTTTTTGGTCAACTATATGTGACCGAAATTCCGGCAATAGGCTGGGCCCTATAACGAATCCTAAGATAAAAGAGCATTTACTGAGTGAGTCTATGTGGGCTCCATTTATTTTGCCGACCTATGGTTCCGAATATTTAAAATGTCACACGATGGCGTGCCTTGTTGTCGTATTGACGTTCCGTCTTGTAAAGCCAAAAATTTTATTTTTCAAATTATAAGACTGTTCATATCTCCCCCCTCCCCGGAACTCGTTCTAGGGTTGATCCTTTGATAAAAACCAGTCTTATATCTTAAAAAAAAATGCTTGGATATCAACTATTTATAACTCTCATTGAAGATGTGGAAATGAATGGCCATCACTAAATGACTGATGAGGTGAAATATTAACATTAAAAAGCACAGTGAACGTGACTAAAAAGCTAATTCTACAAAACCAATGTAACCTGAACTAATGATGTCACCACACATCTAAAACCTCATGCAATGTATATTGCATACCTGGAAGGTGCAGTTATTCGAGCGCTTTTTGCAGTGAAATTCGGTCATGGAGTTAATCCCGTTCACGGTGGAGCTATTTTTAAATTTAACGGTTGAATATCTAACGAAGCATTAGGAAATTCTTTGCGTGAAACCCGTATTTTTTTTTTGACGTAATTTAGGATTGTATACATTGTGCTGGCACGAAGTTTAATGCAGGTGATGTGTTTATAGAGTACACCGTTCGGTGATTGTGGTAAAATAGAAACAGCAATTTATGTTAATTCATGCTACAAAACTCTCGTGATCCTGCTCCCAGAGAACAGAAGAACGCATAACGAAGTACTTACTAACGAACGGAAGAATTAAATATTTCTCGGTCTTTTCATGTTGTTTCTGTAGTCCAATCTACAAATGTTCGTATTAAACGAGCATGACGGTACTGAAGGCATGGAATTGCGTTCTGCAGCATGTTGTGACACATAGTGCCACTCAGGTCACCTTTATTACATGACATCGGAATCCACACTGAGCTTGATCTATGATTATGTACCTAATCAACGGAGAATAAGAGGCTAAGCTCCGGATTTCATTATTATAGTGGCTTCAAAGACGAGAAAGCAGCACGATTCGCGAGCAATCGAGCGCCCGTTCTCTCTCTCTATTGCGTTGAACTGCTTGTGC